AAGCCAGTATGTCCTGCCCCATCTCTAGGGTGCCCTGGATTCCGTTCCACTAAGCAGATAAAAATGAACTCACCCTTGGGCTCCTTCGAGGTGTGTGGACAGGCGGCACCTGTGGAGAAAGTAATAACTGATAACATAGCCAACCCCAATTTTGGCTCCCAACCCACAACCCTTCTCTCAGTCCTCACCTCTACAGAATGCGCTACGATCTTCTTTAAAACGATGGGCTTTCTGCCTGGAGCCGCATGGGGTGCCTAGAAAAGAGGAGTGAGTATGAGTTCCACATCAGCCCAGCGGCCTCCGGGGCAGAAACGAGGAAGCAGGGGCTCACCTTGGGCCAGATTTCAGGGAGGGTGCTCTGGAGATCAGGGCCTGATTTCCGCTGGGACCTCCGCAGAGACTGAGTAGGAGACGGGGCCCCCGGGCCTGGGAAGGGAAAAAAAGTTAGGAGGTAGGGGAAGACTCTAGGCCTCAGAGTCTGGAGAACAGGATCAGGAGTGAGCGAGAGACGGTTCCCAAACAAGCTGCTTCCCGGGGAGTGAGCCTCCTAGAGCGGTGTGGGGAGGGACTCCTCGCGGGACTCCGTCCCTCAAACGGCTCGGCCCCACGCTCCCGCGCGCCTTCCGCTCACCGGAGCGCTGGGCGGCTCCTCCGGACCGCGTTCGCCTCTCGGACATGTTAGCCTTGGTCTCAACCCTCGCCGCCGTCTCCACCGCCGGGGCTCGCGCCAACCCGGAGGGTCGACGGAGACCTAAACGTTCGAATTACCCGCCCTGCCTGGAGGAAGCGGAAGTGACGTAAGGCGGGCGGGCCGCTGTATTCCTCTCACCGCTCCTCGGGCTTCACGTCTAGCGTCGGCAGGGGCGGGGCCAGCGATACGCTGGCGTCATCAGCGCGCGCCGCACCCGGAAGAGACGTGGCAGCGGAGGGATAATCGGAGCGGCCCGAGGTAGAGCGCGCAGAGCGGGTGGTCGGCTGGACGCGGTGTCTCTCCTTCCGCGCCTCGGGCCAGCGCTCGCGCCCATCGGCACCGGAGCGGAGGTCAATCGGTAAACACGGGGCGGGGGGGGGGGGGGGGGGGGAGAAACCTGTGTTGAAGGGGGGGGCGGAGTTGGGAGGGGGCGGGGCTGGTGGTATCAGAGGCTCGCTGGTGGAGGGACCTGGCCGGGGGCGGGAGCCAGGAAGAATGAGGGGGGGTCACCGCAGGCGGGATTCGTTCGGGGGGCGTGGCCCGGAATGTAGAGGGGCAGTAGGCAGGAACTGGGGGTTGGGGCGATTATGAGAGATGTTTAGGGGAGTTAAGAGTGGAAACGATCTGGGCTTGTGAGTTCGTCGTGGCGGACATCGGAACCTGGCTCTTTGTCAACTCAGACCCCTTTCTCAGGGTCGAATATGGGACTTTGCAAGTGCCCCAAGAGGAAGGTGACCAATCTGTTTTGCTTCGAACACCGGGTCAACGTCTGCGAGCACTGCCTGGTAGCCAATCACGCCAAGGTGGGGCCTTCAGGGGAGGGGCTGAGCAGGGCAGTGGGTGGGCAGGCAGGATTGGTTTTCTCCAACTCCGTGAAGGGCCAGGGGTTGGCATGAAGCTCTAGGAGGGCAGGAACTTGGTATCTTTTGTGCTCGGCTCTATCTCCAGCCCTTAAGACAGACTCTGGCACAGTGTGTGCTCAATAAATGTTTACTGATGGAACAAACGAAAGGATGATTCTCCTCTGTGATGAGAGACAAGCAGCTGGGCCTTGAGGAGATGGGCCCCCGTTGTGACCTCTCTCTCCCACTCCAGTGCATCGTCCAGTCCTATCTGCAGTGGCTCCAAGATAGTGACTACAATCCGAATTGCCGTCTGTGCAACATACCCCTCGCCAACCGGGAGACGACCCGCCTTGTCTGTTATGGTGAGGCCTGCCCAGCTTGGTGACCAGTTTCTGGGTCCTCTCTAAGCAGCAGGGCAATGAGATCTTCCCAGGCTTGGGAGGCTGGAGCCCCAAATTCTAGTCCTATGTTATTTACCTGCTGTGTGAGCTCATGCAAGTCATTTTCCCTTTCTAGGCCTCCTGTGTTTTTCCCTAAAAATTAAAGCTCTTAATTTATTTCTTTCCCATTTTGAGGGTTGAGTGAGAGCCAGTCCAACTTGTGGGTATCATTTTGGCTGTAAGCAGTAGCTGGCTGGACCAGCAGGGAGCTGAAGGCAGGAGGCTTTTGGACATTTGGGATCTGCTGTTCATTCCAATTAAACAGGAAGGGAGTTTCTCACAGTACATTCAGCCAAAAGAAGTTGGCACTCACATGTTCCATGACCTTGACCTGACGCTGGTGTAAGAAGCTTAACTCCACTTTTTGAAGGAGCTAGTGCAAAAGAGCTCCATATGTGTGTTTCTCAGTGTGATGTGTGTGTGGGCATATGCACATGAATTTAATGTGTTATGACTTTACGTGTGGTAGTGTCTTCATACCTGCGAATGAATGAATGGGGAAATGCATGTGCACGTATGAACACAAGTGTGTTGGGAGGTTGCAGGAGAATGTGTGGGTGACAGTGCTTGAGTTTTCAGCAAACGTGAATGTATAGGCATGTACGTGTGGGAATCAGTGTGCCCCCAAGTATAGATGCAGGGGATGGTACTTGTGTTTGATTGTAGGTGTACAAGCATGTGTATGTATGCGCTCGTGGGCATACGTGTGCCTCTGTTTGTCTAGGAACTTTTTCTGAAACTGTTCTTGATTAGGTGTTAGCCTAAGGAGCTTCTGATGAGTGTGTGTTCAGAGAGGACTCACTTTAAGGGTCGCTGACGTCTTCTTCACACCCTAGTGGGCTTCTCCCTTCTATTGCGCTGGGGATCTTGCTAGCATTTGGTTGACTGGGTCAAGTAATGGTGGCCAAGAAGGCCACATGCTTAGGGAACATTATTGAAACGGACCTGAGCGAGGACAGGAAGGAGAAGGCTGTGGGCTTATGTGTGTGGGTGTGCATACGTCCATGTAGCAGGCTAGGGGCTGTTGCTGGGCTAGATGTCCTAAGTGTCTTCTTCCTCATGCCTCTCTTCCCCTGTTTCATGGGCCCTAAGACCTCTTCCACTGGGCCTGCCTCAATGAACGTGCTGCCCAGCTACCCCGAAACACAGCGCCTGCTGGCTACCAGTGTCCCACCTGCAATGGCCCCATCTTCCCCTCAAGCAACCTGGCTGGCCCTGTGGCTTCCGCACTGAGAGAGAAGCTGGCCACGGTCAACTGGGCCCGGGCAGGACTGGGCCTTCCTCTGGTGAGAACCTGTCTGTCTGTCTGTCTGACTAAGCATCTGCCCTGGGTCCCACCTGGGACAGATGGGTGGGTAGGGACAGCCCCGGGCCGGCTGGTGATACAGGTTCCTTCCTGCAGATCGATGAGGTGGTGAGCCCGGAACCCGAGCCCCTCAACACCTCTGACTTCTCTGACTGGTCTAGCTTTAATGGTAAGTGGCGGTCCGCACTGCCTTTGGAGGCCCTTGCCCCCCTGCTCTGCTGACCTCTCCCTTCTTGCCACAGCCAATGGTACTGCTGAACAGGAGGAGATAATCAGCGCTTCCGCTGCCCCATCGTTCTACAGCCAAGTCCCCCGGCCCCCCGCTTCCCCGAGCCGGCCCGAGCAGCACACAGTAATTCACATGGGCAATCCTGAGCCCTTGACTCACGGTGAGCCAGAGAATTGTATGGTCTAAGGGAGGATAGAAAGGGAATGGGCCACCCCGGGGGGCCCCCCTCCTCTCTCTGACAAAGCATTACCTCCCCACAATTCTGAGATGCTCTGTTGGGCTGAGAGGGCAAGGACTTCCTGCCCTCCCCACTCCCCACCCTGGTGCCGGCCAATTTCACTGAGCCCGTGGATACCGGTGGCTCTGCCCCTGCAGCCTCAGCCCCGAGGAAGGTGTATGACACGCGGGATGATGACCGTTCACCAGGCCTCCACGGGGATTGTGATGATGACAAGTACCGTCGCCGGCCTGCCCTGGGCTGGCTGGCCCAGCTGCTCAGGTACGCAGGGTCAGGTGGGCCCGGCTGCCAGAAAGGGGGAGGAGAGGAAGTGAGAGTCAGAGGCCCCAGGCATGATCATTGTTGATAGATAAGATGGGCTTCCATCTTTTTGGGTAGATGGGTAACCACAGTACCTGGTGTTGGGCTACTCAGGCCCCTGCTCAGCTCTGGGAGTCTTGAGTCTAGTCCACCGTAGGGCTCTTTCCTCGCCTGCTAGGTATCTGAGGCTTGAGGTGGGGCTCTTTGAGGCCCCTTCCTGCTCTGACAGCCCCTGAGCCTAGCGACTGTGATGTGCCCGACACGTTCTGGTTTGCAGAACGGTGGTTGCTTCCGCTGGTTGGAGCTGCACCGTCGCTGCGTAACAAGCCGGCGTGGGGATAAGCTTGCACACTGGAAGCAGCAAGGCTTGGGGACAGTGGCACCGGGGCCAGAAGGCAGGCATCATGTCTGGGGTTCCTCTCCGGGCCGAGGGGCCCCTGACCTGACTTCCCCCTTGTCCCCCCCAGGAGCCGGGCTGGGTCTCGTAAGCGGCCGCTGACCCTGCTGCAGCGGGCAGGGCTGCTGCTGCTCCTGGGGCTGCTGGGCTTTCTGGCCCTCCTCGCGCTCATGTCTCGCCTGGGCCGAGCCGCAGCTGACAGCGATCCCAACCTGGACCCCCTCATGAACCCTCACATCCGTGTGGGTCCCTCCTGAGCCCTCGCTGGGAGCCGGGCCAGCCTAGGACCTGGGGGCCTGAGGTAGGGCGGTCTAGGGACTTTCCTTCTGCTCCTCTTCTTCAAGCCTGAGACACTAAGATCCCAGGCCCAGTCCAGTCCACGAGAGTGGCTGCTGGCTGGGCCTGGGGCCCCTGCAGGGCAAACGTTTGTCTTGACCTGCTTACCCTCAGTCTCCAGCCCCCCACCCTCCCCACAAAGGAGATGACAGGTGGAAATAAATGACAGACTTTATTAAAACACCGAAGCCGCCTTTTCCTTCCCCCTTCTCAGGCCAGTCCTCAGGCCTCAGTGGTTCTCCTGCCGGTACTGGATGGCCAGAAACTCAAGGGACAGGCGGTTGAAGAACATGACTCCATTTAGGACTGGGCAGACGAGAGAGCCCCTATCAGCATTCCCTGCCCGCTCTCTGCCATGTCTGGGGATCCAGAGCTCCCCCTCCCCTTCAGCGCGACCCCCTCCCCCACTCACTCAGGATGGTCAGGGCAAAGCACCGAAGAAACTTGTCATCTGTCATCTCAGCGTAGAGTGATCCCATGGCGGCCCAGCAGATGCTGATCACCTGGGAGAACTGTAGGCCCCGTCCAGTGGGAGAGTGGCCCCTGAGACAACAGTGGGGCTTCCATCAGCCCCTGGGCCTCCCCCGACCAGCCCTTGAGCCCTGGCCCCAGGCTACCATCAGGACCACCGTGTATTGAAAGCTCATGCGGTCGTAGCGGTGGGTCACGTAGAAGTTGTGCACGTCGCTGGCAAGGACGCCGAGGTGTATAAAGAAGATCATCAGGGCAGCGGCGGTGAGCACCATCCCTTGTGGGAAGAAGAGCACAGCTAGCCGGTCCACCCACCGCATCGTGGCGGCCGCATAGACGCGAGCCCGACAGCGGAACCTGAGCAAGCCGGCCCCGTTCGGGAGCAGCAGCTGACCCTTCCGGGTCCTGAGTGCGTGGTCTGGAATTGTGGTGGGATGCTAGAACCACGAGGACATAGGAGGGGGACAAGATTCTAGAATACAGGCTGATTCCAGTCAGTATGGGAGTGGTTCACGGGTTGCTGGGGGAGCTCCGGGTTACGGAAGGTCAGACGGAGGGCTGACGGTACAGACCGGCAGGAGCGTTGAGGAAGGAACGGCGTTCCTTCACCATCCTGCCTGCGTGCACGCTTCGTGCTCGTGCCCATCTGCTCACTGAGCCCCTCGATGGTTCCACACAGGGGGCACTGTGGGCACATGTCTACAGAGCCAGGGCTCAGAATGTGGGAGGGCATGTCCTAGGTCCATGGCAAGTCTAAACTAGGCTCTGATTGTGTAGCTGGAGGGCACCCCCAGGTGAGGGGAGGCCTGGGCCGCATGGCTTCAAGTTTTTGCTCCATTCCCGAATGGGGAAGAGCGAGGCGAAGGGAAGAGAGAAGAGCTTGCCCGCAGCTGTCCTGGCGCCTTCGCCAATTCCCTCCCTTGGCATGGCCCAGAGAGCACCTGGCTTTTCCATCCTCCCTCAAAGGTCCGAGGACCTGATGCCAGCCAGCTTAACCGTCTGTCACCTTCCAGCACTCAGCACTTTCACAGCCATCAGCCCCGTCCTTTCCAAGAGTCCCAGGTGAGGCTGGTGGCATAAATCTTATTTTGCACCCAAATCCGAGGTACAGAGATGGAGTGTCAGCCCAGGCGCTCCTGGCCAATGAGTGAGGGACTCACTGAGGACTGAAATGAAGGTCTAGTTCTGCCCGAGGCTGTGACTGACTGGGTAGGGACCCTTCCAAGCAACAAGAAAACATTTCCTCCGTACATGGAAGAGAGGAAAACTCTAGAACTCACAAGTATCATCCAGAAAAATGGGCAGAAATGGTGTGGAGGGACATGAAACTCCCAGGGACTAGAGTAGAAGAAGGGTACTTGAATTCTGCCCCACCCCTGGCCTTCTTCCTCTCTGCCAACCACAGAAGTTAGGTTCACAGTCAAGACCCAAAATGCCCTGCCATTTCCTTGCTTGCTTCCCAGTGTCATTAATACCACAGTCCCTCAGACCCCACATTCTGACGTAGGGGTGACTCACCCAATGCTCAGCCATTGGCCCACTGTTGAAATCACTGCACCTCTAGTCTCATGTGACTACAAATAAACTTTCATACATTAGGGCTTCTGGCTCAACGCCATTTAAAAGTTTAAGTAGCGTATGACTATGTTCTTGTAAAAGATTTGGGTAACACACAAGCATACAGAGGAAAAGGCAATGACCTCCCACCACTCCTACCTACCTAACAGAGGTAATCCCCTGAACAGTTTGGTGAGTGGGCATCTTTTGGGTCCCCTTTTTTTTTTTCTTTTAAGAATTTATTTGACAGAGACCATGAGATAGGGACACAAGCAGGGGAATGGGAGAGGGAGAACTAGGCTTCCTGCTGAGCAGGGAGCCTGATGTGGGGCTTGATCCCAGGACCCCGGGGTCATGACCTGAGTCAAAGGCAGACACTTAACCAACTGAGCCACCCAGCTGCCCCTCAAGTTATTTTTTCTACCAGTTATAAATGTTTTGTATTTCTCCTGGACAATACCTACTTGTAATATCAGCATCTGAACATGTAATGGTAAATAGCAACATCAAATGTTCGTTCCTATGAGTAACTAAACAAGGCCCTAGGAATGGCACCAGCTAGACATGCTATACTCTTGGGTCTTAGTCATTTATTTGACAGATCACAAGTAGGCAGAGAGGCAGGCAGAGAGAGAGAGGAAGCAGGCTCCCCGCTGAGCAGAGATCTTGGGGCTTGATTCCAGGACCCTGAGATCATGACCTGGGCCTAAGGCAGAGGCTTAACCCACTGAGCCACCCAGGTGCCCTCTGATACCGTATTTTTTTTTTTTAAAGATTTTATCTATCTATTTGACAGATTACAAGTAGGCAGAGAGGTAGGCAGAGAGAGAGGAGGAAGCAGGCTCCCCGCTGAGCAGAGAGCCCGACGTGGGGCTTGATCTCAGGACCCTGAGATCACGACCCGAGCCGAAGGCAAAGGCTTTAACCCACTGAGCCACCCAGGTGCCCCTGACACCGTATTTTTTAAAACAGCCTCTGAACATCCTTTGGAACATAAATGGAACATTTCTGAACACAGATTGCAGGGGTCAGCAAACTTTTCCTGTAACGGACCGGATAGTAAATCATTTAGGTTTTGGTTCCCATAAGGTTGGTTGGTCTCTCTCTTTTCTAAGATTTTACTTATTTATTTGACAGAGACACAGCTTGAGAGGGAACACAAGCAGGGGAAGTGGGAGAGGGAGAAGCAGGCTTCCCGCTGAGCATGGAGCCTGATGAGGGGCTCCATCCCAGGACCCTGACCTTCAACCTAACAACTGAGCTACCCAGGAGCCCCCATAAAGTCTCTCTCACAACTACTCAACACCTCTTTTGTAATGCAAAACCAGGCATAGAAAATATGTAAACAAGGGGGCCTGACTGTTCAAATAAAATTAGACACTGCCATAATTCATATACTTTCACATGATTTTCATATTTTATGAAAATTGTCTTAAACTGAGATAGACATATTACATTATTTTCAAGTGTACAATGTAACGATTTGATATTTGTATGTATTTTAAAAGGATCATAAGTCTAGTTAACATCTGTCACCCTACAAGTTAACAATTGTTTTTCTCCTGATGAGAACTTTAAAGATCTACTCTGATTATATGAATGTTACAAATTTTTCACCTCATGAAATGTCATTTATATATTTTTTAACCATTAAAAACAAACAAAAAAAGCAACACACCAGTCCTAGCTCACAGGCCAAATGAAAACAGGTGGTGGGATGTGTTTGGCCTGCGGGACCCCTGCCAAAGAATGATTAAACAAGGTGGTTACCATTCCATCACCCCGCCACCCCACCCCAGTCCCCGCCCCCGCCCCCGCCGCCAGCCAATCACAAGCAATGTTTCAAGGACCGCCTCGATAAAGTCATTTTCTCTATTAAAACTCATCCTTTTTCAATCTGAACTTCGTTCCTGTCCGACTGAGCGCTGCACCTTGGTGAACACCTGCATTTTGATGAAATTGGATGCCTGAAAATGACCCTCAACATCTCCATCAGCCCCTCACTCAGTATGGCCCACCAGTCCCTGACATCTGAAGAACTGGGCTTCTAAGCACTTATGTTGCGCTTGGGGACTTAAAAAAAAAAAAGAAGAAGAAGAAGAAGCATTAGCAGCTAGAGGCACCGCACGCCCTGTACGGGCATCTAACCCTCTCGGCCTTCTCGCAGACTCCTGTGAAGTCGCCCCCCCGCCACCCCGGATTAGGAATGGGGGAAACTGAGCCGACCCCCAGGTAACGAGCCAATGCCAGGATGTCAGGCACACGCTCTCTGGCTCCACGGTCGGCGCTGCGTCTGCGGCATCCAGGGACGTATTCCGGGGGCCTCTGCGTGCGGGGCTGCGGGACTGGGAGCCACGACTCGCTTTCTTTCTGGGAGGGAAGCACCCCACAAGTTCCAGTCAATCCTTCCGCTCGGGAAGCTGGGGGGAACCTAGGGCTCTCCCGGAACCTCTTCGCTCGCGGAGGAAAGGGACGGGGGAACGCTAGTCTCGAAGGACCCAGGGTTGCAGGGGGACGTTTCAGCTGAAGGACTGCCTCGTTGCAACAAGAACTTTATGGCTCCCGGAAGTGCTTCCTCCCGGTCCTTTTCCCAGCCTCTCGCCCGTGGGCTGCAGCTGGAGCGATGGCGGCGGCAGCCGCTGGGCCCGGCACGGGGTCTGGACCTGGGGACTCTCCGGAGGGGCCCGAGGCAGAAGCCCAGGAGCGTCGGCGGAAGGCGCACGGGATGCTGAAGCTTTACTACGGCCTCTCGGAGGGGGAGACGGCGGGGCGCCCCCCAGGGTCGGACCCCCTGGACCCGACGGATCTCAACGGGGCGCACTTCGACCCGGAAGTGTACCTGGACAAGGTGTGTGTTTGTGTGTTGGGGGAACCAAACCCCTGATACATTGCACCCCCAGGTCACGACTTCGACTTTGTTGCGGGGGTGAGGGACGCAGGGGCTCCTAAAAACAAGACGACCCTCGGGGAGGAAGCGGGGGCAGAGCTGGAGTGTAAGGGGGGAATGGGCAGACTTACCCTGGCCTGAGGAGGTGTGGAGTGTGAGGTGTCCGAGGCTGGTGTTCTGGTAGGCCCGCGGCAGGGGGCGTGGCCCGGGCGCTGATGGGCTCTGGACTGGGCCCTGGCTGGGTCTGAGCATTTCATAGGCTGACAAACCCCAAACAGGGTCGAATCCAGTAACTCCTGACCTATGTCACTGATAGGCCCCATGTCTAGGATTCCTGACAGGGGTCGGACGAGGGTTTTCTTGCACCGAAAGCCGACCAGGTAGGGGTTAGCCGAGGGCCATGGGGGTCCCCGGACCTGAGCACTAACACCCCGATTTCCTCCAGCTGCGTAGAGAGTGCCCCCTGGCCCAGCTGATGGACAGTGAGACAGACATGGTGCGGCAGATCCGGGCTCTGGACAGCGACATGCAGACCCTGGTCTATGAGAACTACAACAAGTTCATCTCCGCCACAGGTGATTCCCGCTGGGACACACAGTCCCGCTGCTTACCTGTTGTCCTGTGTTGGGGAAACCAGCAGGGGATTCAGGGGGAGGAGACGCAGACTCTAGTCTTTCCCTGACATTAATCCTCTCTCATCTCTCTCTCAGAGCTTTGGTGGTCGAATGACTAGAGAGGTAATAGCTGCTCTCAGAGGGTTGCTCTAAGGATCAAAGAGGGGAAAAACAAAATGAAATTTTAGACTGACATGGGTTACCTGAACCACTTGGAGTCCCTGACACTAAGGATGTTTAAGGATGAGTTTGTTTCTCTTACTAGTGGTAGCTTTCTTCTCTTGAACAGGTCTGTCTTGTGGCTGGGCTTGTCTCTCTTTCTCTCCCTTCCTCTATCCTTTGGCCCCTTTTATTTTTAAAAATTTTATTTATTTTTTTGACACAGAGAGAGACATCACAAGCAGAGCAGAGAGGCAGGCAGCGGGGCGGGGGAGGGGGGAAGCAGGCTCCCTGCTGAGCAGAGATCCCAATGCCGGGCTCGATCCCAGGATCCTGAGATCATGACCTGAGCCAAAGGCAGAGGCTTAACCCACTGAGCCACCCGGGCGCCCCCTTTTCCCCCTTTTAAATCAAGCAAAGAAACAGAAAACTTAGGACATTAAGGGACACAAAGATCAAGTAAAGGTTTTTTTTTTTTCCCCCTTCCTGCCCCCTTTATTCTCAGTCTAGGACAGTGCTAGACAATGTTCAGCTATCAGTCACAGTAACTACTCTTCTTATGTTGGTGAAATGCACTACTCAGACTTTCATGATAATTTTGGACCCCTGTGTACTTAGTCCTAGAGGCGGGTCTTCAGGGTCTGTCTGTGGTCCCTGAGAATGTTGGGTGAACCTTTGTGAGGTTCATTCTGACATCTCTTACCCTACTACTGTCACAATGCTGGGTGTGGTCATTGTTCTTTTGTCCCATGTGAAGCAGGTTCAATGAGTAGGCATCCTTTATTTGCTAATAGCATCCACCAAAAGGAATTTCTAGGGGGCCTGGGCATCTCAGCTGGCTAACAATCCGACTCTTGATTTTGGTTCAGGCTGTGATCTCAGGGTCACAAGATGGAGATTGAGCCTGGTGTTGGGGCTCCAAGCTCAGTGGGGAGTCTGCTTCTCTCTCCCATTCTTCCTCTCCCTCTGCCCCTCCCCCACCATGGTCTTTCTCTCTAAAATAAATAAATCGTTTTTAAGAAATCATCATAATCTCTGAGCTACGAAATTTCCCACCAGAATTTTGCAAGCATTGCATTTTCCCTGTGTTAGAATTTGTATAGTTTTGACATTGAGCTCTTGCTTAATGAGGATGGCTTGTTATTTTATCTTTTTCCTAAGAAAGGGAGAAAATTATAAAGTGAGTGTTGGAATCAGGGGTTCTAAATCTATAAATACTTTAAGGTCTTACATCCATTCAAGAAGTATTCATTGAATGCCTCTTTTTTTTTTCTTTCTCTCTCTCTCTTTTTTTTTTTTTTTTTTTTGCCAAGAGCTGTTCTGCATATTGAGGATATAGTAATGAACCAGCTAGGTCGAGCTCCTCCCTGCAGCCCGTATCCTAGTTG